GCCTTGATAATTTGATAATACTAATCATTGAAAAGACAATATAGTGGTATATAATGTTGTAAAGAGATTTATATGTTTCCCACTGCCCTGATTTTTCTCCTCTAATTAGGCTAACATAATTGTCACTTGTCACCATTAATAATGCTTTAGAATCTTTGTAATATAAAATAAATTTCACAACTTTAATATTGATGTAGCCAATTTGGCTAATAATAGGAAAAGGGAGACGTTGTGGGCTTTAAATAAAGTGAGCCCAAAGAGTCCCCGAAAAACGTGCAAAAAGGAGTGTCGGGCAAGTACCTCCCGGTGGTAGCACTCCAACAATCAAGTCGGTAGGAATCGTGGAGAACAAAATGTGTAAATAGTGAAGTAGAATGTTTATTTCTTTTTTCTACCTGTGGTTCTTCCTTGGTTCTCAAAGCTGTATTTACCCGGACTCAAGAGTGGGTTGTGAGCAGGGGCGGACCCATGTATAGGCTTGGGGGCTCCCGCCCCTGTAGAATTTTTTATTTTTTTTTACTAATTTTCTGTTATGTTTTTTGATTTTATTATGGTATTTATCTATTTATTTATAGACTTTGGCCCCCCAAGATATCAAATTTTGTACATTCAGCCCAAAAAAAAAAATTCCTTCTCTTAATTCACCTCCATATTTTGGCCCCCCACCGAAAAGCCCCTAGGTCCGCCCTAATAGTGAGGTCCTCTTCTAACTCCGGTCGCACTCACACGTGGGTGTGTGGTGTGATTACCCTGGGTTGCATGTCTATTGAAAGCGAACTGAAGTGGTGCAATCGGGGAAAGCTCGCGGGCATGCCCGCCTCAATTTTAGATGGCAATAGGGCATTTCCACAGTGCATGTCAAATTGTAGGATTTTCGCCTCAATCAAGCCACAATGTAGTCAAGTTTGTACTACATGGGGAGAGTTTACGGGGCGAGAGTGGGCTACCTCATAGCGGTCTTAAAGGTAGGGTATTTGGGGCATTCTGGCCCGTATCATAAAGATTAACAAAGACAAAGTAAATTTTGACAAGTTAGTTATTCTAGGGCTGGACCAAAAAGAAACTAGTAAATAAATGAGGTCCGGGAAGAAAAATAAAAATAAAACAGAAATGGGGTGAGAGAGGCTCGAACTCTCGACCTCAGGATCACTCAACTTAGCTATGAGACCTACGCGCTAGCCAACTGCGCCACCACCCCTTGTTGAACGTAAGTCATAATGAATATTATATATTCATGAATGCAGATGAATATCTTGGGACCTCCAACCCGCTCCCCCTTTATTTCTTTGGCAATATATTTTCCTTTTCTTTTTCTTTGAGATGCAAAATTATGGTGCAAATGGGTTGAGAAATTCCGAATTCTGCCGATCCGGCATAAATGTTTCGATTTTGGAACAATATTTTACATGTTAATATTTTGCATACATATATGTTTATATCAAACTCTTAATATTCAATTTGTTGTATTCCATAAAATTCTTGGATAGTTTTCAATTGATAAACATATGCATGTATTAAACATACACAAACTTGTCACAAATTGATTAATGAATGATACAAATTTAATGAATTCAAGGAAATTGTGTAAGAGACCGATACCTAATCGATCCCTCCTCGCTTGTCTGCTAATATTTCACAAGGTTTTCTTTTTTTTTTTTTTTTTTTTTTTGGTCCCTGTGTGATTCTTACAAGATTTAAGATCAATATATATATGTAGAATACATAACGTGTAAAAATATTGTTCCAAAATTGAATCATTTATATATTGTGTCCTTGTTTGAGCTCTACAATTTTAAGCATCTATGTTATATCATTGTTTAATTTTATTAAATGGGTAGGTTAGGTAGGTCTACTTGACCACCAATATAGTTACAATTATATTAAGCCCACACGTGTGTTCCAATTAGTAAAGTAAAGAGGCTACTATGATCGATCGATGTAAAGACTTTGAGGCTATACTATAAACTATAGAAACTATACTATGACTTCTCTTTTTATCTATATAATAATGTCTCAATTACTTTCATTTTCAAAATAAGATTGATAGACAATATTTGATTCTAGGAAAAATAATATGTGCGTAGTTTCGGACAATTTAAAAATCTAATTTGATGTGTGATATGCCTATTGGCCCAGCCCAATAGACCCAACTTAATAGTTATATCTACGAAGGCCAAATCACATCCAAATAAGGTTGGGCCCGATAAATTGATCTCGGCCCAATCAATAAAGTATAAATAGAACTTAAATTCATTTAATGAAGGTACGCTTTTATTATTCAATCATTTTTTCTACTCAAATTCTCTCGGCTATTACCGATTATCCTCACGTCTGACTTGAGCGTCGGAGGGGTTTCCGCCGGATCAACCCCGACTTAGATTACGTGTTTTCTATTCGCAGGATTATTAAGTTAATTAAAGCGTTTCAGGACCATCTAGCTCGTGAGCACGTGACCTACTTTGCTCTCCCAGCTTTAACACCCTAGGTGATTTATTTTTAACATCATCAATGTGAATCGTTTGATCAGATAGATAGTTCGATCGATTATGAAGATATAGATTGATCGATTATGAAGATATAGATTGACCAAGAATATTGTGATGAGTTGTTGCATATGAGCTTCGAACTTAATTAATTAAAGAAGAATGGCCATTCAACAAAGTTCAAGGAAGCGTGGAACACATAACATAGACACTAGATTTTGTCATAGTTAAGATTTTAAATGTTATGTTTTTTAAATTGTGAGAGAAATTGTAGGGATTATAGGTTAGGTGAGTGTTGTTTTTTTTTTTTTCCTAATATCTACCTTCATTACAAGGAAAAAAAAGTGCATACATTTAGCACACTCTTTTAATGCACGTTGCAAAGTTGTGCACGAATGAGTTACAGTTATGATTTTATAAAACTTAAAATACTGAAGTTGTAACCGATGTTTGTTAGTTTATGTATATCTCTCACTCAACATCAATTCTACTTGATTCAAGTTGAATTAGAAAACCACCTCAAAAGACTTAAAAAAATGGTGTTTTGAATTTTGCTTGATTCAAACTAGAAATTGATTAAAATATATTTGAAATAAAAAAAAGTACCAAAATAAATTAAAACATATTTAACAACTCCTAAAAACAATGACCCCTACCAAGTACAAATGGAGACTCTTATTTTGGCTAGGCTAACATTAGCTTCTACTTGTGCTTTTAATTCCGAAGAAACTTCGGCCATAAATTTCAATATACGGATTTTTATGCCAAAAGTCCCCAACCAAGCATGTTTATTATTCCTAGGTATAGGGGGACATTATCTTCTTTCACCAATTAAAGGCCATCCCTTTAAT